CCAAGGGCGCTCGTGTCAATGTGGCATAGTAGTCGACGCGTTAAGATTACGCCCTACATTGTCATGGCTTGAGTCCCATTGGGTGTATTGAAAAGACTTGGATAAAAACATCTTTTTTAAAAGCAACGCTATGTGAAATTTAATGGAAACATCAGTTCTACTTATATCGTTGAGAGAAAATTCAACAACCAATCCTTCATTACCCAAAACGAAACAGGGTGAATACATCTCATATAAAATACAAGTTTGTCTCATCTAACTAAATATAAATAAGGTATGAATCCCAAAACTTATTATGTTTGTACATACGTAATGCATAATGCCCAAGCTCACAAGATGAAAAATGAAGAGCAAGAAACTAATGCCAAGATAACTGACGATGCAAGCAAGTTGCGAAAACGAAGTCAAACCACTCCTATAAAAGGAAAGATGATCATAATAAGGGCCTTAAAATATCTAGACCTTCGATTAGAATATAGGAATTGGGACAGTATTGAAGCGAAATAAAGTAAAGAAAGCACATGCGCTGATAGGCAAAAAGGAAGCTCTATTTGCTGCAGAGGGCCGAGACAAGCATATGCTGCCTTCTTTGTTGAAAAAAGTACAATTAAGTTATTTTAGGCATACCCGGCATAAAATTCCGATAATTTCCTGTTCTAGGGAACGAGCGAATGGCCAAATCATAGGTAGCAAATATCTGGTCTGACTGGGTTTCGAAACTACCCGCAAATCTAGATTAACAACTGTACTCACCCTGGCCACGTGACCAAGGAATGATGGTTGAATTTCCCCACAATGAGGCGCCACGCTTTCATAGAAATTCACATTTATTTCTTTCGGGAAACAAGGCCACGTGAATTCAGTGATGGATGCAGCTTCTACCACAGGCAAAAATCCCCAAAAATGCCACTGTTTACCAACCCGCTTGCTGTCTCACGGGAAAAATATTATACCAGTCCGTTACTACTAGAATGATTAAAGTAGCATGTGTTTTTCTAGGAGTGAAACGCCATATCAAGATTTAATCCTCACTCTGGCTCAAAAGAACAAATTATTAGCAGACCTGAAGCTTTTGATGGATCTAAATAGCCTACCCCAGAACGAGACTGTTTGATAATCCGGAAAGAGCCAGCTACATGCTCCATTGCTAGTATCAAGGTTCACTTACATTTCAGTCTTCCCCAAAATAAACTAAGCAAACACAACTAATGGCATGTGTCAATTGTGCTTAGCCGCATGCATTGTAACTGGTATTAAGCGCCATCCATGAGTATGTCTTTCGATCGACCTTAATTTAGGCTAGGAATTTTCCATACTTGCCTTCGTAGTATAGCTCATTCAATCACTATTCCTATACGCTTCTATGTCATGTTGATTGATTTTGAATCCTGTTATTCAGTGATCCAGACTAGATAACTTGGTCATATGTCCACCCCGAATCAAGCAGACTGACCTCTGTGTGTTGGCTTGACCTACCCGTCAACAAGCAGAAATCAACCCGAACCAAGGGTAAGTAACATATGCACCTCGACATATAGGCAATGCAATGATGGAGCCGGTAGTGAATTAGGAAAGTAAGCCTATATATTTGAAATCGAAATGGATAAAGATCAAATTGTGAAGTGACTCAGTAATTCTAATTTATGTAAAATAAATTATAGACAAAGATATACCTTATGAAGAGCAAGATGCCCTTGATGTCAGACTTTTATCTAGATGAAAGAGTTAACGAGATTTTCCTCACACAAGTACTAAAAAAATAAGAGAACAAATATCCTCGGCAGGCTAAGGGGAATGATTAATGATACAGAAAGCCAAGGCATTAAGTTATGGAGTAAAGGGTATGGATCTAAGGGTTGAGATACGGGATCTGGTCTTTTCAATCATTCTTTGAAGAGAGCCTTGACGATTTCTGGTGGGCAAAGAAGAGCGTTCTGAATTAGACCCAGACTTATCAGCATCATGGAATTTGAAGCAATCAACAACCGCTTCCTCCACTAGTGCAGCCCCAGAAATTACGCTGCCGTGGTCTGTCATCTCATCAGGGGAAGAGTTGTGGCTGGTCTGAGCAAGAACAGTTTCGATTACTTCAACAACATGGTCACTTGAAGCCAAGGTTTGTCGAGATCGTTTTTTCAATAAGGATGGAGGCCGGCCCG